AGGGAAAATGTTACCAATCGGTAGCAGTTTTAAGTTCCTTCTCACACCCAGTTGTTGAACTTTTGACACTTGTTTCACTTAGCTCACAGAACACTTACAACACTTCCGGTTTTCAGAAGAGGGGTGTTGCAAGAAAGGGTAGTGCTTACAGAAGGGAATACTGTCATTCAAAGACAGCTCTCCACAACATTCATTACAAATGATCTGGCAAGGAAGCAAGTGTACGTGTAACTTAGGTAAGGCCTAGGTGCTTGCTCCAGGTATGCTTTCAGCTGAAGTATAAACCTGAGCAGGTGGAATATACTTAATTCTTTGCCCAGAAAATTTCAAAGCTCTCTTTTAAAGTGAATTAAAGTTGTGACTTCTCTGTGACAACATTACAGCATCTTCCTGTGCGCCAGAGAAAAATGTTTTAAAATAAAATTAAAATTTCTCTAGATCTGCACATGAAGCCATAATTACGAAACACAAAGGCCTAATTAAAGCAGGTTAAGAGAAGATTAGAGCAGATTAAGAGAATACATTTTTATAGAGCTACATTTTAGTTGCTGGAATGTACTGATACAGGCCAAGGAGTATAGAACTTTTTGCTAAATATAAATTAACTAGCTGACTAAATATTCTGGACTCAGAAATTAAACATCTGTGATCAGGATATTAAAGATGGAATGGAAACACCTACATGGGCCAAGAATAATAAAAGTAAGACGAAAACTAAAAAAAAATCAACAACTGATGCATGTCCCTGGGCAAGACTCCTAGTAAGAACAATAAGATCTTCTTACACAATTGACCACAACCTCCCCTTTGCTTGGAAAACCTAAAGGAATGTCATACCTCTGGAAAGTATTAGGTTTGTCATCTGCTATGTATTAGGCTGTAATAAGAGCCAGCTGGATCATACCAAAGATTTAGAAAGTAGGAGAAATGGTGATCCTGTAAAAATTAGACATCAATTGCCACACATCTCATTGCCATATTTGAACATCAATAGCCAATGGGAAGAGGTGGTAGAAACTATAATCCTAAAATATTTGGTGAATCACTCCACCATTCTGTTCCCACCGAGATTAGCCAAACACCTATAGGAAGCATCCAGTAGAGTACGTTATAAGGTCAGTAGCACCATCTTGTTCATATATCCCACCAGGTCTTTCTTCTTTAATTTGTCCAGATAGCCTACCAATAAACAACATTTCAATAGTAATGTTTGTTGGATAAAGGACTAATAGGGTAAAAGTGGACAAGACTAACCAGCTAAGCGTGCAAGATTCTGCTTCCATCGCCTTGATAGGACTTGCCCAGTTGGAGTTTAATTCCAAATGGATCTGAGCAACTTTATTCTAGATGCCTAAATTATTCTTCCCAGAAGCTCTTCAAATGTTCTTGTAGCCTGTTCTCTGCAGCAATGAAGGGGACACTTTATAAAAGGCTACTGGACAGCTATTTGTGGACAACAGGAAAAATATTCACATTTTGTTACTCTTTTTGCCACAATGTAAGATTGGTTCTTACCTGTACTAAACTTGTAGGTCTTATCTTTCTCCAGTATCATTCTAGGCATCTCTGCTGCTGTTTCATCTGCTAGAGTTTTTCAGAAAACCCCCAAAAAACCCACTTCAGCATTGATTACAGTGAAAGGCTACATAGGAATCATCCAATCTAAGTTCTCCCTCACATGCCTATTTTAAAGTGCAACAAAGGGTTCAGTTGAATTATCCATTGAAAACTCAAGAAAAAGCCTAAATAATTTCTGGAACCCTAACCAGCAAAGAGAAAGCAGTCATAGAGTGACCCAACTATAGCAAGAGACTAGCAGTTTATCTTTCATTACTAGCTCACAGTGCAAGTACTTGTCAGGCTCAAGCTCAAAGATGACACAATGAAATTCAATGAAATCCATTCTTTTATTTGCTTACAGGTGATGGACAGAATCTTGCCAAACTAAAGCTATATCCATCCACTCTAATATATATATCCTGAGAGATGCTAGGATGTGGCTGAACATCTTTCTCCCCTTCCCCCAGTGGCGGATTAAGGCTCAATGGTGCCCTAAGCACTGACAAATCTTGGTGCCCCCTCCTTTGTACAAACTGTACAAATGAAGCCAAGCTTAGGCTACCTAAAAGTTTTTGTGGTGCCCCCTTTGGGCCTGGTGCCCTAAGCACATACTTAGTGTGCTTAATGGTTAATATACCTCTGCCTTCCGCATCTGGTTCAGCACTGCGGGACTCTTAATTTGGGCTTCTCTTTGGAATGTACAACTGCTTCTACCATGAGAAAGCTCTGTTGTTGCCAAGACTCCATCCATGGCTTCTTCTCCAGGTGCACATTCTATCACACTACCCCAATATAAAACCCAAACCAACATGCAATCACCAATGCTCAAGTCAATGGTTGCCATGAATTCTTGAGCTGCTCCAAATTCTACATCACCAATGCAGTTTGAACTTACCAAGAACTAGCCTTGGCAGTCTACCGTCAACAAGGTGACAAAATCTAGGCAGGAATGCGTCTGTGCAGCAGGGAAGTCACTATAGTAATAATAGTTGAAGGGCTCCATAGAGCCCAACTTCAACCAGAGGGTTTCACAGCAGGGTGTCTGTGGAGCTGTATTCTGAAATATATCTAGGTAACAGTTGCTCCCACATGTCCTGGGACTGTGGCTGATAGAACATTTATTTGCATTCTGTTGTTTCATGAATGAATTTCCTCAGATTGTATTTGGTATTAAAAAAGTACTGGACTCTTATACCAACACTAGCTGGACACCTGTGCTTCACTATGAAACTATGTGATCGACCTTAGTTTTTAGGAAGGAAAATAAGGGGGCGGGGGGGGGGAATCTGCCTCTGCCTACCAGCATCCATCCGTATTCATCTGACTAGCGTGTGAGAGTGTGAGAGACTGTCAAGTGTGTGAGAGAGCTGAGGGCTATTTGCAAACTGAAACAGTATTTGCTGTGTGAGCAAGGAAACAGCAAGGACCCTGGGCGTGGCTTAGCTCAACTGTTCTGTACTAAAGCTGGTTGCTGCTGTGAAACTAAAACTGAAACTCCTCTCCTCTGCTTGTGTTTTGCATTTGGAAGAGATTTCTTTTCAGGTGGTTAGGAGGAGTAGAACTCCTTAGCATCAGAGTGTGTTAATATTAATATATGAAATACTAATGTTCTGATGGTCATTTTGAAAAAATCCTTTCTTAGTGAGCACCTAGAAGCCAAAATTCAGGGACTGTTTCAAAAGTGAAGGAAGGGGCAAATGAGCTCTAGAATTCACCCCACTCTCAACAAATAAACACCATTTCATATGAAGCATTAAAAATGTATATAATATACAAATTAAATTTTTATAATTAGAAACAAATCCATTAATTATTCTTGCTCAAGGTAAAAGATGAAACTGGTTACATTTTTTAGCTCGCTCATTTTTTATATTTAATATGGCAAGTCCAGATAGCCAATCCTGGAACATTGTACTCAAGTAATTTTTAATCTATGTCAATTTTCAGAAAATCCATTTTGCCCTCGCTTCTTCCCCTGAAATAGCTATGAAAAGCACCAATGCTTTTACATATCTGAGACAACACATACATGTGAGTCAACAGAAGACAGGATTGCTCATTAGCAACCATGGATAGCTGATAGTGAATCAACTGGTTTTTTTAATTATAAAATTACAAACAAAAATTTAAAAGTATAATGCATACAATAATATGAAAGTATTAAAGTAAAAAGTAAAAAGCATAGTAATATAGAAAAGCATAGCAATATAAAAAAGGAGGAAGCCAGCAATTTATGGTACAGTAATTTATTACTATAATCTCTGAGAACACACTAAACCAAAATAATATATTTTCTTGGTTAGCAGGATGGGAACATAGACATTGGCCTGGTTCACTACATGTTTAATCACAAATTGATTATTTTTAATTAACATACTTATACCACATTGTCCTATCAAGGGCTCAGATTCTGGTGTAATCAATGAAGTATTGACTAGGATTGGGGAAATCCATATTCTAGTCCACTTTGAATTATAGAAACTCATTGGATGACTTTGGGCCACTTGTCTTTCTTCAGCTTGAGTATAAAATGACTAACTCCCTCATGTATGTAAACCTATCCTCTGCTGCTAAAAGTAATTGAAATGATTTTTCATACTGCGGCCCGATATCTTTGGCGCATTAATGGTCTTGACTGATGCATTTCTGCCAGGAAGTTTACGTTAGACTGCAATCAATTCCTGTTTCTGCCTCTATCTGATGCAAAAGTGAAGGAAAGGCAGAGGGGTAAAAGTAATTGGCCACAACTTCAATTGTATTCAAGGCATATAAGAAGACATGTAAAAGCATCAGAAATGCTTCTAACACCAGAAAAAGGTTTTGAAAAAGCGTATCTGGAGGATGTTTGAGCTTTGGTTTATCTGAAAACTATTATCATTGTAGCGTAAGTTGCTCCAACTGTTATATAACTGACCGCTGGAACTCCGTGCTGATCTACTGCAAATAACTCAAGAGATCTAACAATAGATTCAATAGATACATTCTGCCTCCTCAGCATTACAATACTGACTGAGCATTAATAGATCAGCAGAACAGGCGCTTGCTGAGCAAAACCCCTATTTTCTACGAAACAAAATAAACGCACAATGCAAGGAAGTAGCCAATCAGAGTGTTATAACCGAAGCTTCTTTCGTGGCGGCATCATCATCATCATCGTCACAGGCGTGGAAGTTTCAAGCAAGACGGTACAAGATGTACACCCCCCCCCTTTCCTTTCCAGAAGAACTGTCACTCCCCCCACCACCACCTCGCTCCCATTTTTTTTTTCTTCCGTCTCCCGTCTGGTCCTGATCCAACCAATGACCAAGCACCAGGGCTCTCCAGACCAATGAAATCCAGTTCCGAGGCAATCGGGAAGAAGATCTTAGCAGCCAATCAAAGAGGGCTTTACGGGAGCCCAATCGGAAAGTCGATCTCAGGTTTGCTGCTTGATGCTCAGTCAGCTGGAGGAGGAGGAGGGGGAGGAAGAGGAGGCAGGAGAAGGGGGATGATCTCGGCCTCTGCGGGTTGCTGTTGACCGGGCTGGCCGGCGGGTTCCCTTCGGCCCTCTCTCGGCTCTCCGACCAAGCTGTCGCGGCGGGCGGAGCGATGCAGCACCCGGGTGCCCCCAAAGCTTCGCCTCCGCTGCAGCCTCTCTACGCTCCCAATAACGGCGATTTCACCTTCGTCTCCTCGGCCGATGCCGAAGGTAATGGTGGAGGGAACCGAACAGATGCCAAGAAATCCGGAGCCCTCTGGCGCAGCCTGGCCTGCGTGGCAGAGGCACCTGCGGGAAGAGAGGAGGGTTGGACTAACAGGTCCGGTAAATAAGGAAGGATCGAGTAATGGTGTTGGCGGAGGGGGAAGAGGGGAGTGTGGAGCTTTACTGAGTTATGCAGAGCCGCTAAAGAAGGGAGTGCAGGCTAAAACTGCGTTCTGGTGGTTTCCTTCCATTGTTTGTGGGCTCTCTTCCATATATTTTACACACACACACACACACCAGCGCACAAGGCTGTGGATGTGGCACCTTGGTTATTCACTCTGATAGGGCATCAGCACAGATTGCTGTTGTGCATAGATCTCCGTAGGGCACTTTTGAGCAGCTTGCTGGGAGTTGTAGTCAAGTTACCCCCGGAGGGTAACACTTGGGGGGTGAATTAGTTGTTAGTCAAAATGAATAATAATAATAATTGAAGTTGAAAACTTAAATTGATCACATCCAATTAGTATGATTCATGGGCTTGGAAGTATTTTGGGAGAAGGATGGAAAAAGTGAGAGTATAGTGTTTGAAGAATAAGGTTTACAATCTCTATTGATCATGGCAACTATGGTTTATCAGAAACACTAACACTTTTGATAACCAGTTGCTGAAGGACATAGAAACGAATTTGCGATTGAAACTGCAGTTTATTAACAACCATGTGATGAGCTGCTTCAGACAAAATGCTGAACTAGACATGCCTTTGAGCTGAGTTAATATGGATGCCATTATGTCCTTAAATAATGCAGGTAGCCCTCCACTTATGATGATTCATTTAACCACCATTCAGTTATAATGATGTTGAAAAAAAGTGACTTACAACTGGTCTTCATACTTCTAACCATCACAGAATCCCCATGGTCACTTGATCAGTATTCAGGTGCTTGGCGACCAGCATGTATTTATGATGGTTGTAGCATTCTGCGATCATGTGATCTCCATTTACAACCTTCCCAGGGAATCTCCGACAATCAAAGGGAGAAGCTGGATTTGCTTAATGATTGCAATTAATTATCTTGGTGATTTGCTTAATGACCATGGCATATGCAGTCACTCTGGATAGCGGGATGGGTGACACACAAATTAAATAAATAAATCAAGGAGAGAAGCAATCTAAATTAAGGACAAATTTCCTAACTGGGAATGATTCAACAGTGGAGCGGATTACCTTCAGAGGTTGTGTGTGTTTGTCTGGAATGGTATAGGACAGGAGTACAAACTCGGGTTGTCACGGTGGTGTCACGTGACATATCAGGACTTTTTCCCTTTGCTAAACTGGGTGGGGGCGGGGCCAGCAAGTGACACACCTGGCCTGTGGGCTGCAAGTTTGAAACCCCTGATATAGAGTCTCCTGCCTGAACAGCGAGTTGGACTAGAAGACCTCTAAGGCCCCTTCCAATTCTATTATTCTGTTAAATAGGATAAAATTGGGTGTAACTAGTGTAACAACCACATTGCTTAGGGACAGACATTCTAGTGCCAATCGTGGTCCTAAATAGAGGACTACTGTATTAAATGTATTGATATTTCCCAGGTTTTTAATGGAAAACTTCAAAGCTTAACTAGTTCTGTATACTGTATTTAGCTCTGCACGTCAAAACTGAACATCTTATGAATTCTACTGATGGTTAAACTGTTCTTTTTTTAAGTTAAACCTCCTTCATGCTCTTCAATCAAAGCATTTTTGTGCAGTGAACAGAAGAGCATAACAGAAGCTCTATGGATTTTAGAAAGAATAGATGCAGTGCTTCAGCAGTATCTGAGCGTTATTGTTACAGAAATAACAGGCCAAGTTTTTAATCTACCCTGCTCACTGATCAAACAGTCATCTATTTTGTATAATTGGGAGAGTTTGGCTGCATCTTATTCTAGATTGTGAAAAAGTATCTTATTCTTATATATAATAAATTAAAACACAGGTATTTTCTCCAATTCTTTATTGTTTTTAGATTTGTCATATAAAATTGCTTTTCTTTTAACTTATAAGATTTTAGAAAAATCGTTGTCGGTAAGTAATTGTAAGTCTTATGCAGTTTAAGGGTCTTTCACTTCTGCCTAACTACATCACTGACATTTTTTTTAAAAAAACTGTATTTTTCTGCCATGCCACCTACATGAATGTGGACTATGTGATAATGCAGGAGAACGAACACATTTTATAACATATCCTGTCCCCACCCTAGCGTTTCATCTGTCAGTTGTTATTTGGCTTTTTTTTCATGTAATGTTGTTTTGAAATAATACTAAGCCTGTGTTCAAGTTCAGCCTGAATAACAGCTGGGAGGTGGGCAGACAATACTAAAACAGCAGAGTAAAGGTTACTACAGACTCCTGTGCCAGTCTGCTGTTTGAATTATCTAGTCCAAATCTTTGAGTCACTCATTAGTTTAAAGACCTGGAGAGTAAAGAGATCTTCTCTGCCTATTATTTCTCCTTGCTTGGGCAGCTGATTTACAGGCTGAGAGAAGTGGAAACTGAAAGGTGTCAAGATCTAAATCTACAGATCAAGCCTTGTCTCTGTGATTAGGGAATGGTTTTCCTGACAGCTGATAATGAGAAGATGGGAAAGTATTGTCTTTCCTACACAGGAAATAATAACACCATCCTCTAGCAACAAACAAAGCATATATGGACAGCAAATCCTATATTGCTTTAGTTTCCTGTTGGCTAATCGGGGATGAGAGCATTTCAACTGAACTATAGGGAAGAAGCAGCTGAAACTTCATGCTAAAGTGAACATTTCAGTTCTCCATAGTAGATAATATACTGGTATTTGTTGTGGCTTTGTGAAACATCAGATGAACATGGCACCCCTTCCTGAAGTTTTGAAAAAGCCAGGTCCTTTGGAAAGCTGGTATTGTTGCTGTAAAAACTGTGTCCAAGTATCTGCCCATGTGTGTGCATGCTACTTTGCTGGTGGCCCCAAATCTAGTGTCATCTATGCATGCATCCAACAACCTCTAAAGCAGTCACAAGCCCTCCAAAGGATATCATTGCTTTAAAAATTTAAAGTTCATGTTAACATATTTTTGCAATGCACTTCTTTTGAATTCTTTATGCAACCAATGTATTTGTTTGTAAGCTATTTTCTTATATGTACTTATGGATAATTTAGCTTCTTTCATTCTCTTACAGTTCTTTTAGCTTAGGGTAATATGCAAAGTCATCCACTTTAATTTATAAACTGTGTTTTCTTTTGTAGAATGAGTTGTATATCAGGTCAACCCAAAAACAAATCAACAATGCAACAACGTAGCATGATATGAGAATTAGGCCTAGCGACCTTCCCTTTTTTTATATCAATACACATTCCAGTAGAGCAAATATATATATTCTTGACTTCTCTTGCATTTTTTTGACTTAAGATTTAAGTGGCTCAATAGCATCTACAGATGTGAAACTCAACCTTGGAGGCGGAAATGTGGAATTTATGAAAGAATCTACAGCAACTACCTTCCTGAGGCAAAGAGGTTATGGCTGGCTTTTAGAGGTGGAAGATGATGACCCTGAAGATAACAAACCACTCTTGTAAGTAACATTGCTTTGAGATTCTTAGCTTAGCTCTGACCATGAAACTAATTTTTTATTTTAGACCAAGGGCTGTGATTTGTGATCAAGGAGTTAAATGAAAAGAAAAGTTGACAATTAAATAATTCTCTATTTATTGACATTTAAATACATCTATCATTTCAATATTTTTGTACACTATAGAAGATTCCATTTTGGCAACATGTCATATTGTACTGTTTAGAAAACATCATAGATTAAAATATTTTTTCAGTAGAATTAATGTAAAATTATTAAAAACTTTAATCAGAAGCTCAAAGCTATGATAAACAATTGCTTAAGGTGTGTATATTTGCATCTGTATTCCATGAATAAAAGGACATCAATTTCTAATAATAGTATAATTATGGATTATTTTTGAGTTGCACTTTCTTTTTCGTTTCCTACTATAATTTTCTTTCCTAGGGAGTAAGAATATAATCATTATTCTCTTGCAATATTTAACATGGAATAATATAGCTGTCAGACAAGGAATGGCTTAGCTTATTGTTTACTGTTTGCTAGTATTAAAAAGTGTCCGTACTTCCACTTGTTCAATAATAGGTAAATATATTTTGGGGGGAAATCTTTCAGTGCTGTGTTTCTTATACAATTCATAAAGTCTGCCTTCTCAAATAATGCTAAGCCATAATTTCAGGACATATTATGGAAGTTCTACTTTTTTGTAACAGAGAAGAATTAGACATTGATCTGAAGGATATATACTACAAAATTCGGTGCGTCTTGATGCCAATGCCTTCTCTCGGATTCAACAGACAAGTAGTAAGAGATAATCCTGACTTCTGGGGCCCTTTGGCTGTTGTCTTATTCTTCTCAATGATCTCATTATATGGACAATTCAAGGTGGGTTAATTTTTTTTTAAAGCACCTTCATTATTTTAAGCTGTCATCAACTGTTAATACAGCTTAACTGTTAACAATCAAATATTAAACTTGCCTGCATCTTCATATAGAAGCTTGAATATATTCTTAAACATAACTGGAATATGGTTCTTTTATCTAGTGATGTTTTTTCTCTTAAATTTTATTTCTCCTTCAATAGATTGCCTGTGCTTATGTTATTCTGCTTTATGTTTATTTTTAACCTACTATTTCCAAGTGAAAGTGGAATGTGTTCTGCAGACTGAACTCTTTTGGCCCTAATCCATTGATAATACATTACAGTGGTTGACTCCTTTTTGAACTGTAATTTTGCAGAGGCCTACTGAATCAAGCTGAATTTCATACACAGGGCTTGAAGATAATAGCAACTCATAGGAACAACTGTTTGAATCTGAAAATTCTATTTATGCAAAATAACTAAAACTATTACTGCTGTTACTGTTATAGTTGATCAGGAACCAGTGATTAATGTGATCCATAATTAATCACTTTTAAAGTTTATCATTTATTATGTTATCAAATTTAGAGAAGTTATTTCAAGTATCATGGAATTCAGTAGTGCATTAATGAACAGAGTACTGCATTTAATTTTTTTTATTTGTTATGTACTCAGGATTTACTAGGGCTGTACTTTGGATTTGAGGTTGAAAAGACATTTTGGAGCAAGTCTAAGAGCACATGTTGCATCTATCAGCATCTCCTTTAAAAATCAACATGACTTGGCAAAGTGGCTGTATAAGAAAATACATATTTGAATTAAGGATCTGTTGATAAGTGTAATGTACATATTCAAGCCCACCCGGAAGCCTAGCACTTTTCTGGGATTTTCTGTCATTTATTTTATTATGATAATCACAAGTTTTCATAATATAATGCAACCATGTTATGAAAACTCGGGAGGATTTTTTCCAGAAAAAGGCTTGCACAATTGCATGAACAAGAGTGAATGGGGTGATTGAATATATTATTTTCCAATTTAAGGAAGACTTTTGGTTTGTCAAAATTAATTATTTTTTCAGTTCATAAGTAACCATATTGATTAAAATATTTAACAATTTTTTAAGGTGGTATCCTGGATTATAACTATTTGGATATTTGGATCCTTAACAATCTTCCTGTTGGCCAGGGTTCTTGGAGGAGAGGTAAGAATTTTGTGAAAGTGGACTTGGTATTTGAAAGTTCAACTTAAATTATTTTTCAAATTGGGATTAGTTATATGAATTGTCATTCCTTAATTGCCCATTTTATGGTCCTATCTATGAACAACTTGGATGAATACTAGTTGCCCATTATTACTGGTTTATCAGAGGATTTCAGCAAGTAAGCTGGGAAGTATAGCAAAAGAAAACATTGAAAAAGTCTATTTATACCACTGAGATAATTCTGCTGTTAAACACTAAAATCTAAATTAAAGTATTCAAAACAAATGAGTATCCAACCTCTATTCAAATACATCCCTTTCAATATAGTTTTTTCTTTTCAATATCCTTTTCAAATCAACCCTTGTCTTTCAGCATACCCTATTCAACATCCTTTCTTGAACTGATCTTATTAGGAATATTTTTCTAACATGAAACCAGAGCCTGCCTTCTTATAGTTTACATCCACCAGTCTCCAAAATTTTAGATCGTTTAGAACAGTGGTCACCAGCCGGTTGGCTGTGAGAAAATTTTGGTGGGCTGCAGAGAAATCTCACCCCCGGGGCACCCCCACAAAGCAATTAATCCAGGCTATGCAGAAACACAAGGCTGCTTAGCCCACATGGCCCACAGGAACCCTCCCCGCCCACTCACTCCTTACCTGGTAAACTTGCCTGCTAAATTGCTATTTTTCCTTTTTCCAATCATCATCTGTTAGGCTGTGCTGGGAGATTTAGATTAGCTAGGAAGCAGGAAATGGTTGGATTTCTTGCTTTCTAGCTGGTCTTTAGATCTTCGGCTCAGCACAGCCAAACCTTCCCTTAGGACTAAAGGTTTGCTTGCAAGCAAATTCAGTGCAGACTCAAGGCAAGCAAATTTGAGAGACTGAGTTAGCCGATGGCAGACAGATAGATCACTGAATGATTCTGTGAGCAACTCAATCTGCCTGCTTTGCCTGATTTTGGGTAAAAGTTGCTGTTTTTTTTTTAAATAAAAAATTCAATATTTACATGCATGGTGTGTTGTGAGTTAATTTTGTGAGTTTGCTGGCTAGCAAATTTTATGTGACAGACTGAACTAGCCAATGGCAGATAGATAGATCTCTGAATAAATCTGTCATTCTGTGAACAACTCAATCTGCCTGGCTGCTTTGCCTGATTTTGGGTAAAAATTGCTCTTTTTATATAAAAAATTCAATATTTATATAAATATTTATAATATTTACATACACGCCATGCCCAGCCAGTCACATGACCACCAAGCCACACCCACAAATCAGGCCACGCCCACAGAACTGGTTAGTGGTCCCTGGGAGCTAAAATTATGAGTTTGGTGGTCCCTGAGGTCCAAAAGGCTAGCGACCCCTGATTTAGAAAATGACATGAACAAGAGGATTTGGGAATTAGGCTTGTAAGAACATATATGACTTATGTACTCAAGCTTGAACAATTATCTTTGTTAGTAGACTGAGTTACTGGAAACAATGACTGAAGTATTTTAATTTACAGGTTGCATATGGTCAAGTTCTTGGAGTGATTGGATATTCTTTACTTCCTCTTATTGTAATAGCACCTGTACTCCTGATAGTTGGATCATTTGAAATTGTTTCTACTCTAATAAAAGTAAGTTCAATATCATTCATGACCAGAAGACCAAAATATCAACAATTTATCAATTAATTTTATCCATAGTACTGTGATGGCGAACCAAGGCATGCGTACCTGGAAGTGGCAGGCAGAGCCATCTCTCCAGGCATACCAGCCGTCGCCCGTTGCTTTTCTGGATTCTGACACGCACATGTGCACCGACCACCTGGTTTTCATGTGCATGGGAGTGCCAGAAACTGGAAGAGTGGCTCCCTGGTGTGTACGTGCATGCCGGCCAGCTGGCCTCCGCACGCACATGCACGTTAGAAACCGGAAGGCCAGGTGGTTGGCGCGCACTTGCGTGCCAGGAAGCTAAGAGCTTCAGGTTTCTGGCACTCCCGTGCTGTGTGCCAGGAGCTGCTCTTCTGATTTCTGGTTGCACGCACATCTGCGCGTTCCTGTTTCAGCATTTGGTATTGAAAAGGTTTGCCACCACTGCAATAGTATATTATGCAGCTAGTATTCATGTTCTACTTTGCTTCTAATTTATGCCTGTAAATTGAGAGCCAATTCACTCTAGTGCAGAACTGTCAAACTCCCAGCCTGCGGACCAGATGTGTCACATGCTGGCCACACCCATGGCCAGTTTAGTAAAGGGGGGAAAAAAATCTCAATATGTCACATGACGCTGTTATGACAACAGGAGTTTTATACCCCTGCTTAATAGTGATTATGGCTAGAAAACAAGAAACCATGAATTCAAGTCCTTAGCCATGAAAATCAGCTGGGTCACCTTGGGCCAGTCTCTCTCAGCCCAACTCAGCTAGGATATAAAATATGATACAATATATGCAGTATGAGATATATAATAAAGCTTGACTTACACTATTCCATCTTTTAATGGCTATATTCCTATAAATAAGTAATTTGACTGATGCTGAAAAACATCAACATATTGTACATTTTTCACATTAAAAAGATATAAAAGAAAAAGGAAACCAGCTTGTTAAGGAAGCTTTGGATAAAATTACTTTTTTCTTCAAATAATAATAAATTGACTATTTTAAAAAGGGGAGGAAAACAAAACAAAACCATCTTGTTAGGACTTTCTCATTTTGTAAATACATTCATTTGGTATTATAGTACTGATTTGGTATTAATTGGAGATCAGCTTCCTGCTACATAGTACCAGATTGTCCACACAGCAATAATTTTGGATTACTGCGCATAACCAGAGTTTATTCTTTTGTTTCTTTATAAAAAAAAATTCCTTGCCTTGATAACATTTCTTTTTTTTCTTTCTGCCAGCTTTTTGGAGTGTTTTGGGCTGCATACAGTGCTGCTTCCTTATTAGTTGGTGAAGAATTTAAAACCAAGAAGCCTCTTCTGATTTATCCCATCTTTTTATTGTACATTTACTTTCTGTCTTTATATACTGGGGTGTGACCAAAATTGCTAGATTTGAACAAGGACATTTTGATCACCATGAAGACTGAACTGTTGGTGGATAGAAAAGGCAAGTGACTGTATCCTATCAGGCAGATGAAGTTTCAGTAGTATCCTTAAGTACATCTGTGTATTATTAATTAAGCATTTTTAATTATATTACAGATTTAAACCAGAGTTTTAGGTTTGTTAGATTTTTAATGAATACGGATGGTAACATTTTTAAATATGTTATTTGAAGAAACTTATTATTTTTGCCAAAAGCACGTGGTCCATATGATAGGTAAACTGTCATGAAACTTGAAAAAAATGAGTGATTATTTGAAACTATAGTTCCCATAAATGTATTCATCAGCCAATCCTCATCATTCCTATATTTCAATGTATAATCTTGTCCAATCTTGACTTGGCTATTGAGTTATCAGTTCTGATTTAAAGTTTTATGTTGATCAAAGATTGGTTTAGGAAATTCCATCATAAAGGGAATTTATGGTTGTCATTACCATCACATGAAATATTTGAAGTAACATTTAGTAGTATTTGAAGAAATCCTTTTTTAAAAAAAAATTCACACTGTAAATATGTCATAGCAAAATATTGCTTTACAAAGTTGATTTTGAAATCTTTCAGAAAAAAGTTTTTATTTGCAGCTTTATGAAAGTGGTAAGTGGAAAAAAGTTTAAATAAATAGTATGATTCTGAAAAACTTCTTCAATAGAATAAACATTGTTTTCTTCAAAATTGAACTTGTTTTATAACACCTTGTTTTGCTATTTATGTAAACTGGTTTTGGGGTTAGTAAAATTGTTAGTCACAAAGTTGCATTTGCAATTTGATTATCAAATTTAATACGAATTGACATTATTGAAATGGTTCTTTAATATAATTGTATATTACAAATGAAAAAGACATTCTGCATTGTAAGGATTTTCATAGCTTTATCATTTGCAAGGCACATATTTAATCTAGTCTGCTTATTCAGATAAGCAGATATAGACATACAAATATTTTTGTCAAAGGCATAAATTGCATTGAGTTGCTCATCCAAATAGAGAAACAATTACTTTTGCATTTTTTGAATTTGAATTTTTGGATGTGCATTGACATCTCACTGCACTTAAATAACATACAGCCAGGAGACTTGGAAAAAAGGAACTATATACTTTGCAAAATTGTTAATATATTAAATTTGATTGTATTTGAATCAGTTAAAAAATTATGCATTGTTTAATAGAAGAATAAGTAGCAACAAACTACTGTGGCTATCTGTTGATTTTACTGACAAATTAAATGCTCAATTTCTGCCAATTCTGTAAATCGAGCAGATTTTTATCATTAAGCAGATCAAGTTTAGACCTAAACATTCTCTTATTTTGATGGAATTTAATTTCAAATTTAATTTAATTTAATTTCAAGTTACCAGCATTTAGGAAAATAACTTAAATCCATTCCCAATGTTACAATTTATTAATCAGTGCATCCACGGGATCTGGCTACTTTTCTCAGAATGATAAAAGGAATGTCACACTGCAAGCCCCAATACTTTGGGGCATGTGTACAATACATGATGTAAGGAGTGTCACGAAATGGGATGAGGCTTGTGCTGTAATGCTGCTTTCATCAGTCTTTCCTTCTACACCCTCATGTCATTGGATCCATTTTTTAATGAATATATTCTTGGAAATCAAAGCCAGGAATAAAACAAAAAGGCTTTAAAATGTGCCTTCTATTAGTTCCCCCTCTGCAGAATTATAAAAATTGAAGAATAACAAGTTATATCTACTTTTCATATGAAGGGATGCCTCTACTTATAAAAGCTCTGAAAGTGCTACTTTCTGCTTAAATATAGCCTGCACTTGTAATAAGTGGTAAGTAGCACTTAGACTTATATACTGCTTCACAGTGCTTTACAGCCCTCTCTAAGCAGTTTACAGAGTCAGCATATTGCCCCCAATAATCTGGGTCCTCATTTTACCGACCTCAGAAAGATGGAAGATTGAGTCAACCTTGAGCCTGGTGAGATTCGAACTGCCAAATTGCAGTTAGCTGGCAGTCAGCAATAGTCTACAGTACTGCATTCTAACCACTGCACCACTTTGGCTCTTAATAATCATTATCATTTTCAGAACTATGTATTATTAAATGGTCTCCAGAATGTCCAATTCTATGGCAGACTTTGATTTACAAAAAAAACCCAAAACACTAAAATGGCATAAAAATATATTGGGTATTAAACAATACAATATTTCTGCTTAAGATATAAACATAATATTTTAGTTTCATCTACCCTTTTTAAATCTTAATAATCAAATTCAGCTTTAAAGCAGATAGCTCTGCCTAGAGCCAGTTATATGGCAATCTGGGCAATCTCAGACTTCCCATACCCAATGCCCTGAACATATGCTCGGCTGAAGCTTCTATCCACTCTGTCCAGCATGATCTCAAAATCGGCTAGTGTAATCAGCCAATCATCAGAAGCATACTTAAATAGAAAAATGTTGTTTGGTATAAATGCTAAGTCATTAAAATAGTTCTCTTGATTAGAAACTGGTTTGGATTTAAAAGTATGTATTAGGATGTAACAATGTTTTCTGTAAACTTGAGCAGAACCCATTATGTTTCTAAAATTCAATATCATTTAAATATGCTGTATAAAAGAAGCTTTGTCAACAGTTTCCCAGTTGGATAAACTATTTATTTATAGTAGTGCATCAACTCCTACTTTTAGCCTAACATATATGTAAATACATGTATTTTATACAAATGGAATTGTTTGCACAATACATATAAATCTTCTGTATAATATCTAATCCAAGAGATAAATACCCATATTTCATATGTTTAAGATGTGTTTATAAGAATGTAAATAAATTTTTAGGATTACTGAAATACAAGCTTTTGTCATCTGAAAACATGAAAATAATTACAAGGATTTCATTTTATAGCTTTCCATCAACTAAAGTCATGGATATCCATGTGTGAGTTTCACACAGCCTATTGATAATCATGTTTCATCTACTGAATGTTGTAACCTAAGAAAACTAATTCTGCTATACATATACTTTTTTCTCTGCAGTAGGCATTCATAACTATTTATGTGGAATCATAAGTTTCTTTTTAAAATTTTGAGGTTAATTCTACTTTTCTTTCAATTTCATTTTAAAGAAAAAGTTTCCTTCTGCAGCTTACTTTTGCCCCCGCCCTCCAAAGTACCTATTTTGAAAGTAGCATTACACAATGGACTTGTACTGTGTTTAAAAGAACAATAACTATTTTTATTACATTTATATGCTGCCGGACTCCTAGTGCATATGTTGGCACTTTTCTGTTGTCTTATTTTGCAAATTTGCTTACTTTTTGTCATTTGTGCTGTAGTCACTTTTCATTTGGATTACTACAATGCTGTAATGGGGCTGCCCATGAAGACCATCCAAAAACTGCAGCTGGTCCAAAATGCAATTACAGGCATAGGTCTTGGTGCCTGTAGTTTGCTTGATTTACACCACTGTTTGAGCTGGATTGCTCCCATTCCTTTCTGGGTGCAATTTTGAGGGGCTTGTTATCACCTACACAGGGCCATGTTATTTGTGGGACTACCTGCACCTAAGGATCTCTGCTTCTTCTACTAAGTCAGGTATGGTAGGTGCACTCCAGGTCCTTTCCCTTAAAGCTGTCATCTGATGGGACCTTAGAAATGTACCTTCTCTGTAACCATCCCAGCCTTTTGGAATAGCCTTCCAACTGAGATTTGTGGGGACCGATCCTTTTAGCCTTCTAGAATGATGTGAAGACCAAGTGCTTCCCAAGCTGAGAGTGTTGAGTCAGGAAGTTAGTAGTTTGGTTCATCTGGCACCTGATGGTAAAGATTGGTCTGCTTTTAGTCCTGTTTTTATTAGTTGGATTGCTTTGTGAGACAGTAGGCCCTATAAGTTCTGCAAATAAATTAATCTGCCCTGCTTACTGAATTCAAGTCTTGGATATCAATGGCATAGATGTAGGCCATTGTTTTTATCTATTTTAATACCTGTTTCAGATTTTCAAGCTTTCTGTATTTTAGCTGAAACCCTCTAGAACTCTTGAATATGGAGGGACATTTGCATGGTAAACCTATCATTAAATGGACATAATGGTTCCTGTAAGAAAGAAACTAGTAATGTTTCTTTATTTTTAAATAAGCTTATTTCCTCAGCATTAAATTGAATGCTTCTGAGCTTGTATCAATACACAAATAAAAATGTATTTGAATATTCTCATACCTTGAAAATATGTTGATACATAAAGGCTAGGCTTTTAAAAGCTGAAATACAGGACTGTTCAAAGTCTGTTGATGAGGGCTGTCAAACTCCCTGCCCACAGGCTGGATGTGTTATGCGCTGGCCACACCTACCCCTGGTTTAGCGAAAGGGAACAAAGTCCCAGTACGTCATGTGGTGCCGCCATGACAATTTAACAGCCCTGCTGTTGATTCTTTTCAGTGTCTCAATGGCTTTTGCTAACACAGACCACAGTATCTTTCAGGCTGTCTGATGAACCATAGACACTCCATTTCAGAGTTTTTGAACTTTCTGGCCAGACTAGGCTTGGAAGTGGTAATTAGTGCTGTTCACCACTATGACAACTGCTGTACAATACTCTGATTGTATCATTTCAGATAATGAAAGTTCTGCATTCTGTGGCCTGATGGACATCATTCCACTATGACTGTCTCTTGGTTACTGCTTCTGATTTCATGTAAGCTTCTGCTTATATCATTAGCAATGGGGTCTTGGATCTTGTCTTCTGTTGGCCTCTTTTTCAATTGAATTCGATTTTAGAAAGCATCAACATTTTCCCCATTGACTTATTACCTTTGCGTTATGTATCCAAAAACCATAGCTTCATTATTAGTGCTTCCAATGAACAATGTGATTTTTACTTCCTCCAATATTAAATGATTTCTTTTTGTAATTGGTAGTATGTTCAGCTATTTTCTTCAGCACAATTCAAAGGCATCAATTTTTCTTCAACCCTCCAAATGGTCTAGCTTTCACAGTCAATTGTTAAGGCTAACCTATCTTGGCTGCAAAAAT